GGGGTGAGAAAGGCGGGAAGTAGTGGTACGGACTAATGGCGCCATGTGGTTAGAAAGTAAGAAGATATAAGAGAACGCAGGATATGGCACACACGAAGTGACCGAAGCAGGCACCGACTTCTACACGATCGTAACGTTAGTCAACGACGGGGGTGGAGAACCGACACCACCACCACCACCACCCCTTTAGTCTACTCTTGGTGGTGGTCCGAAACGGCCTTGCGCCATTAAACGTACTTATATAAGATACTGGTCGGTAACCGACCAAAATGAGGAGAAAGACAGAAAGAAATAAAGAAAAAGAGAGATAGAAAGAGAGAGGAACATCAATCAAGATAATAGGACAATAAATATCTTCTCAGGCAAGACGACTTCCCGGCTAAGGTCAAAAGTGCAGCAGCTTGCAATTTCTGGCCGATTTCTCTCCTCTCAATTTGTGTTCACCAGCGTTTGCGATAACTCACCCTTCGCCAACTACAATATGTAATCGGCCAAGTATCGTTTTGGATTGGAGTCTCGATAGTGTCGTCTGCATCGAACGAGTAAGAAACCATTTCGTTGGAAGACAAGAAAGTATGCTGTAGGCTTTCTCGAAGGAATCGACGTTATACTTATATCGTTCGTGAGTTTCCTTCTTCCTTGGAAAAGACAACATAAGCTGGAATACGTTCGATTTTCTCGTTTGAGATAGTGTACCTATCCCAAAGCTGACGAGCCGAGGGAAAGGAGGAAACGTGGCAGTTTTGTGCTAGACTCGATAGGTATAGAGAAAATATCGAACGAGCTAGCTGAGATACCTTGAGAAACGATGCTTCGCTCGTAAAGCTCGGGGGGGGGGGGTGGCTTGTATATAAAGTAGAAAATATAATTTCGTTGGTGGCTATCAAAAAGACTTCTCGTTCGTCATAACGAAAGCGTTCGCAACGACGGTTAACGTTAGGTGTGGAGGTTCGTTGTATGGTAAGAGTGGAAGGAAGAAAGAGAATAGAAAGAGGAAGAGAGAGAGAAATAGGTATCCATATCCAAAGCACGAAGCAACAGCATAGTCGGCCATTAAGGATGGGGCGTTGGGATAAAATCGCGTTAGCGATCAGAAGATATCTTTCGGTGTGCGGAATATCGTTTGAAATAGTCGTAAATAAATCGTGTGGTCGTATTATAACGTGTTCTCATAGTACGGTGGATAGGTACAGGAGCGTTATTTAAAATGAAAGTTTGAAAATACGCATAGAATAATACCGCGAGAAGGCGCTTCCGGAAACTTAACTCTTTAATATATAAATATAGCGATGTAGCTTGGATTCGAGGGCATAAGGCGCGTGTGCATTAACCGTTGAAAACTACGACATATAAAGTTGCTTTTGCACCCTCTCGTCTCCGTTGTATAAACTATAAAACAACGGGCTCTGGGCAACGGCGGACGACCTCGGCGTGCAAACCCGGGCTAACTATTAAAAGTTGCAAATTGCTGCAGACACACTGCGGGCCCCGTCGTTAGCTCAGCGCGTACGCCCCGCGCGTGTTCTCCGCGAGCGTTACCACCTCTTGGCCACTACTATGCTAGTCTTCCCTACCACCCCCTAACGCTCCTTCTTCCACTTTCTCTCTTAACTTACTTACTTACCAGACTTACTTGTGCTTCTCTTACTTACTTACTTACTTACTTACTTACGTAGTCACTCGCTTACTTACTTATTCCTCGCTGCGTATTCCTTATCCTTTCTTCACCGTGCTTTTCTTCCCAGCCTTTAACGTTACTACTATCCCGCTAAAGAAACTACTATTTTCTTTTTTTCTGTGCTCTTTTTCCTTCTTGCACTTCTTCTTTCTCTCTCTCTCTCTCTCTTTTTATATCTTTATATATCCACCACTGGCCGAGTGATTTTGTACACAAATATAATGGGGAGGGAAAAAAATTTATCTAGTTCTTTCTCTCTTTTTCACTCTTGCATACAAAACAATTATTCGTTGAATTTGTTTAGATCTACTTTTTAACTTTAGCAAGGAAGATTAAATGGAAACGCGTTAGAGGAAACACCTTGCACGTAACAAATCGTTTACCGTTAAAATTCGTACTCATTGTTTTGTCGGTGGAATATCGTATGGAAAACGTGTAATCCTAAAGTAGAATTAAATGATCCTGGAAAATGATTTTCATTGTTTGTAATACATTCATTCGTTCGTTTTTATTTAATTATTTTTCTTTTTCATTATTTTTTCTTTTACATACCCTAATGTTGTATGATTTGACGTGTTATTCACGAGTGACGCTATACGTTTATAGTGACGGTGCGAGTTCGATTGCGTGTAATATGCGGAGAAAATTTCGCCGATTTTTAGTGCAATCGTTTAATTGTGGCATTCCATCGATGTATTTCAATGACCATTCTACAGCATTTTATGATCCGCGGTGCGTCAATAATCGAACAAAGCCTCGGCATAAACGCTTTATCGAGCTCCACTTCTCGTTGGCAGACTATTTTGCCACCACTTGCGCGTTTCGCCATAATTCGGTTCAATTATCATCGAACGTATCGATTTTGGGAGGGAGTGAGAATGGTAGTGGAAAACGAGAGCCAACCATCGTGAGTGGTTACCATCGTGCCCCACGAATACTATGCGATTGCATTCGGGAAATTTGTGAAAAGTGCGTTTGGCTTTACGCCCCGAGACGTAATTTAAGTAGCTCTCGTTCGAAATCGGATCGGCGCGAACTCGAAGCGGATTATAAATGTCGATTATAACTAGAAACGGACGAGAGATCGTCGGTGAGATTTAAATAATTCAATGTGGTTATATCCCGACACTCAAATCACTGATTTAAAGACGTCTAATATACGAATTATAAAATGCTACATATATATTCAATGACCTCACGAGAATTAAATCGGAAACAACAAATACTCCGATTAATCTTCTCAAAACGTTTATCTGAAAATTGTTTTTCAGATTTTTAAGTTACTCTATTTTCTATATCTATTTGTTGATTTCTCGGACATCTAACAAGCGAACACGTCTAACACATCGTTAACAGGCAAGCTGCAACTACGTTCGTATGTCCCTCTAATTGTATGCGACTGGTTTGCAAACCAATATATCTTAAAGCTAGCATCATTGTTTAACATACATTTCGTTTAATCTCCATCCCCCTGCGAGTATTCGAAGATATTTCGTATAAAAAATAACTTAGTTATCCAGTTAGATAACGTTATCTTCGTTATTATCGAATTTATTTTCTTAATTGACCACTATATCGACAGAAATTTCGAATATTCTAGGTATCACCGTTGGCCACCAGAATCCTTACGAAATTGGTTAAATTTAGAAACCATCAACGAGAATCGATTTTAATTTTAATTCCTAATTTAGTCTTCGACCGCTGTTCATATTCTATTACTTTTAACTTTAGGATTTGAACGTACGAGGATCGGAGAGAGAGTATTTTGCGTATCTCGTGGTCTCTCGATGGACATCGGAGTTCTTGCGAAACGGTGTTAATTAGAAACCGAAATTTGGAAACAGACCGAAACAGATAGATATCGTATTCAGTATATGACCGAACGTAGCGAGGAAATAGCAACGTCGACGAGGTCCGTGGCAACGTCCAAGGGAAATGAAAAGTAACGATTCAATATCAGCACCACCACCACCACTGCGGTGTATCGTGTACCGAATTAAGCTCGCACTGATACGACCGGAATGTCGTTTATGCTGTTCCCGCCATTTTTCCATTATCTCTTTTTTCCCTGTTCTTCTTCTTTCTTTTTAAAACCTTTTCCCCCCTTTCTCTCTTTCTCTCTGTTTGTCCATTTAATACCATCCCAACATGTTTCCTTCCTTTATACTTACTACACTGGCACAACAGTAAGCAATTTTGAATTTCGCATTTCGTCATTTGAAAACAAATGTCACATTTTTATTTGCATCCATTGGTCCACCTATCTCGAACTACCACCCCCCACCCCACCCCCTCCCCTAACGTAAACTATTGTTATTGTTAATGCGTACGTTATCTGAATTATTCAAATGAGCTCTAATAGCCCGGAAGATATTCTACATTCGTAGCAATTACATATCCATTATGTGACATTATACAATGCTCTCGATGTCGTCGTTATCATTCGACCAATTACCATCACTTATACACGATTATTCCCCTCGTCTTATTTTATGAAATGATATGTGCGAATCGAAGATCAAAGAGAAAAATTTTCGGCAAGTGAGAAAACGTTCTAGGGTAGTCGAAAGATCGAGTAATTCCATAGCCAAATGTAAATCCGGAAAATGAATGTCGCTCGTATAATAGAAAGTTGGACGATCGAATTAATCGCTCGCTTTTCACGCTCGGTCGTGACGATAAAAGCGAAAAGTTCTTTTCGTTCCCTTAGATCCTAACATTTTAGAGCCACCATCTCTTTCTTTCTTTCTGTCTCATTTTCCTTCTTTCTACTTCTCTACTGGAGTGCTTACGATTCCAGCAAAAATGACTTTTACTATCTATCGAAATATCTTGGACTGCAAAAGGAGAAATTGTGTATATAGAGCGTCGCATATAAAGAATCCGTTTTACGGCGACTGTTAAGACCCGACGATAGCCGACACGTCCCATTTCCGGTGGCCGACGCCGACTGCTATCCCCTATAGGGACAGTGCGGGGGAGGAAGCACTTCCGTGTTGGCGCGAATCCACGTTCGAATTTAAAAGTATGAGCCTCCTTGACAGTAGCAGTATCACTACTGGACAGAAACACTTTCACGTCTGAGAGAAGTCTGAATAAATATGAGTTACGCTCTTGATACTATAGTAGATGAGACGAGAGAACCGATATATTTAGAAAATCGAGAGGAAAATATATTTCCTTTAAAGAAGTTCCATTTATTTCAATTCATTCTTTCATCTGATTTCACACACTTATCACAGATTTTTAAACTTCCTTTTATTTTTAATCTGCAAACACACATTACAACTAAAGAATATTTTTCTTCTTTCGAATGTTGCAGGAAATGAAAGTTAACTGGGCGACATCGCCGGGCAACCAACCAAAACAAGACACTAGCAGTGAGTACATTTTATTTTAAGATTATCCTTTTCAATATTTTTCTACATTTATTTCATGCTCATTTAAACTCTTTCGTTTAAATGTAAGTCGTAGGAAAACTATGCTACCTTAATATATTTATTTTTATATATACATATAGAAATATTAGGGAGAAAAATGAAAAATTCCTTTGAAATTTTGAAAAAAAAAAAAGAAACATTCTCGATGATTATTATATTGTTTCTTTTTATTTCTTTGTGTAATTAAAGCTTTTCATCATTTCGATATTCGTTAAAAATGTATTTATTGCATTTGTTTCTGAATTCGCGTTTAACACGATTATATTAAAAACATTAGCTCTGCGTGCAGGTAATCGCAATGATTTAAAAACAGTATACTTTTTTTCATTTCTCGTCAAATTTTTGTCATGCGTCGTAATTTACTTCCATTACGGTCGACCGTTGACATATACATTGATTACTACACTCATACATAGCTAAAAACGTTACAACCTTTGCCAATATAACTGCAGTCAATCTTGGAATGCAATTTGCATTTTAACTGAAGGTTATTCGACGCGTCGTTCTTTTGACGAATGGATAATCCATTAGCTTTAATTAAAGAGAAAACTAACCTACGTATTACGAAGAAAACTCAATCAAAAATAATAAGATTCTTCTTCAATTAAGTTACAAAATTACTATTTTTCCATGATAATTCGTTTGATTATTTTATTGCCAAAAATATATGAGAAAATTCGCGAAAAACTTTCAAATGAGAAAAGAATCTCTTGTAAATCTATTCGAAAAATTTCACTGTAGAATATTCGCGAGTTCGTAAAGTTCAAGCGCTTTAGGATACTGTTTTATCGTTTCGAAAATCGCCAGAGTATACACGTTCCTATGTATTTTACAAGCTACGATATAGAACTTGGAATAACAGCCTCGTGCGTTTCTATAATAATGTCTACATACAAGGTGGGTTGAAGCGAATGCAACTTTGGTTAAGTATTAAGCACGCGTCACTAGGCAAGTTTATTTTTTGCTTACCAGAAACATAACTTCATTCTAGAGTAATTTCGAAAGCTCTAGTTTTTTTTTAAAGAAAAAACAACAATAACAACAACATCATCATCAACAACAAAATATTTGATCTGATCCATCTTAATCTAAATTATTTTTACTTAAAACAGATGATCCTTTTTAACTCTAACACACGAGATAAGAATTGAAGAAAGGATCTTCTCATTCACACATATACGAGTACTTATGTACCAACAAGTGTCAAAAGCCGTCCATAAATGGCACGTGCAAGCCAAGAATCCTGTTTATGTCATCACATCCCCGTAAATTCAATATAACACCCTTACTTCGAATCACTAGACAAAGACACCACGAGTATAAGACAGTAAGTAGGTATTCTTTTCGTGAGTCGGAAAGACGCGAGGATAGCATAAATGTAAAGTATCGGATCCGATCCTTTCTATCTTTTCTTTTTTCTCCCGATACGTACGCGTAAAAAAAAGTACACGTAGTCCTCGAGATTCCCCATAATATACGTATATACATATCTTTATATAGGAGGGTATGGGTAACGAGTGTGTACGAACATGTATACGTATATACGTTGGAGATCGAACGCGTGTGCGTATTTGAAATTCAGTGAGAGCTGGTGGCAATATTTAACTCAGTCTGAAATTCCTCTTTTTATGGACTTGTAAAACCGTGACAGGCACATGGGACCCGATCCCGACGTTTCTCTTACGCCCATCCCTTCTCTTTCTCTTTCTCTCTCTCTCTCTCTCTCATACACATACATGTACACTCTTTTCTAGCAAGTTGGTCTTCCATCCAACATACTACTACCTTTATCTCTCTTTCTATATCTCTCTCTCTCTCTCTTTCTCTGTACTCTTTCCATTCTCCTCCACCTTCCAGTTCCGCTTCTTCGACCGCTTCGACCTACGGTGTACCTCCTCTTCCGACAAATGCAAAACTAAAACCGTATCTCCCCCACCCCCTTCTCCAACTCTTCCTCCTCCTTTCCCTATTCTCTCGGTAAATATGGCCAGGAACTACGCTCCACACGAGCACCACCATCGTCATCCACTTTTCCTTCTCTAGAGAAGGCGGGTACTTCTTTTTCCACCGTTCGACCGACCAGCCTTCCACCCTTCCATCCTTGCGACGAACAAGAGAGAAAGAGAAAGAGACGTAGAGAGAAAGATACAAAGTGTATCGGTGTGCAGTGGCCGCAACTGGAACGACGGTATGTTTTACTTTTCCGCGAGAGACTGCTAGTAAACTCCGACATTGGTGCACCTGCGCGCATCCTACAACTGCAAAGCTGCGTTCCGCAATCGTCTACGTGGAAAATGCGTGCATGCATGTATGAATGTATCTATCTACTATGTATCTATCTATATGTATCTGTTTATATGTTCCGAAATTTACTCGACTGACGATGAAAGTGAAACTAGGGAGCTTTCAAATGAATCTACATTTTGTTCTAGCGTGTTAAATATTTTATATATACATATAGATAATTATTCTACTCATAGATCATGTATTTATAAGAATAATGAAGCATTTATAGAATACCGCAGGTTTATAGTTTGAAACAATATTAGTAAGATTATTTAATATGTTTATATAATTTTGCATTTAGTTGTGTATTTAGTTAATGTTCATACGAAATAAGTGTATTTAAATATTATATATAGATACATAATATATTATAGAACAGATTTCTTTGTTCTCTATTTCACAAATAATCGACTTTGGAGAATTCCAGGGATATCGCAAAAGGGGAAATCCCTTTCTCTTTAACGAATCCTCACAGGACAGCGTAGTATGAAATTGTTCTAGTTCCGGACGAGTTGCAAGTCGCGGAGTTGTTAGTTACTTTATGAAAGAGGAAGAGAAAGAGCATCACGATGCATAGACTAGGGAATTTAACACCAGGATACGTTGACCAAAAGCGACAGTGTGCCGCTTACCATTGTCTCTATTTCCAGCATTTACTATCTCTCTCTGTTTTTTCTTTTCCTTTCCGTCTCTTTTCTTTTCCTTTCCCTCCCCATCTTCCATCGTATTTTGTTAGCCCCTCTCGTTATTTTTCTTCTTTCCCTTGTTCTGTTTTTCTTTTCTTTCTTTTTAGAAAAGTTAGTACCTGGGTCGACAACGAGGATGCCACGGATTGTGGTTTGTTAACGGCTGTCTCGAGGAAAGTGGAGATTATAAATTCGTGTTTTAAACTGACGCATATGTTACGACTTTTATAACCGAATATCTATCTTTTAACCCAAATTTATTTTTAAAAAAATTAAATCATCTGATTCCACAAACAAAAATGTTTTTTGTTTTTTTTTTTTTTTTAATCTAGATCCGATACCATTTGTCGTTTACTAATTGTATCATAAATATGTTTTTGATCTTTGGAAGATCTTTCATTCGACTAGTTAGCTTTGATAACAGGTTATAATAACTAATTTAATTGGATTCAATGGAACTACAGAGGATTCGTAGCTATTCGATCATGGATGTAATTTTCTCAGGACGAGACCGATTATACGAGAAGCGATCGATTGATGTGTATGTCCTGTAACTGTATCACGCATCAAAGTAGCATACAATTTGCTCTAATTCATGTCTCCAGGTATCGAATGTTTCATGTGTCAAATACAGAAAGGGGGAGAGAGAGAGACAGAGAGAGAAGAATAGACAAAGACAAAGATAAAAACATTTACTTCCTGCATTCTTTACATATATATACATTAATATCTCTTATAATTAATATTTACACCATGTTTATTATTGCTTTATTATAATATAAAATAACATTTGTTGAAAAGCTTTACAATTTATCCAAACTTTTGAATTGTTTTTACATTCAATCTTCGTATTAACAAGCACGAAAAATACATATGTTTTAGAATTCGTTATCACACACTCTCGTGATTTCTTGTTGAAAATATACAACATTTGCAAACTAATTTTACGGTATGTCGATTAAACGTTATCGAAATGAAAATTAGTAATTAATAATTAAGCCATACATTATACGGTCGTGCATTTGACGCAATAGAAAACTGGCTCTCACTAAATGGAAGAGATATTTGGTATTTCCTGTGATAATTCGAATCACTTTTAAACTTCTATTGAATTTAAGCTTACTTTTATAATACAAAACTAAATGTTTTGTATCTCTTTCTCATCTTTATTTATTTCCCTTTCTCACTTTCTCTCGTTATAATAATTATAGACAGTATATAATATTACTCTTTCATAATTGCAATTTGGTACTCTGAAATCAGGAAAACAATTCTTTTATATACTTTTCCATTTCAAATAGTCGCGAATAATTGTAAATGAAAATAACCGATATTTCATTGATTGTTGCATTAACTAAATTCGTTTACTTACCAACGAATTATCTCTTTCACAATTGAATTCATTTACACGACCATTGATAGAGATAAAGCTACACCAAAATTGTAAAATAAGAAAAAATTTGGTTAGAGAAAGAGAGAGAGAGAGAGAGAGAGAGAGAGAGACTGAAATGGCGTATGGGTATAAACGAGAAATATAGAAAAGGAAGATCATTTTGTTAAGAGAAAGAAAGAGAGCTATTGTAGATATAGTCGGATTGGGTATCGCTAGCTGACTGTGTAATCGTGCATCGTTTTTCCTGCATTATGAATCGCGTCGAGAGATAATCGCTCGAGTATTTACGGGGCTTTTTGGTACAAAGGGGTTACACCGGAAGTCCCACTCGCGCATTCCGTTTATCCCTGGCAAAGCGTTTACCGTTAATCCATAAGCCACACGCCTTTGCTGTTTATATGAATTACTATGGCCGTTATCGTTATTAACGAAATACAACTTGTCGTACGTAACCCTGTCCCTCTTTCTCTCCATCACTTTAACTCTCTTTGTCTTTCTCTATCTCTTTCAAATCCTTTGGATATTCGGTATTACGAATTTCATCATACAGTTGGTGATAATCTTTAAAAGAGATT